TTTCGAGGTTTTAGGTTCCCCAGGTAGGGTTTAGAGCTTAGGTCATAGGGTTTAGGGTGTATGATAAACTTTCCGGGCGAGCGAAGCCTGCTGCAAAAAGGATAAACTGCCTGTTTTTCAGCAAGTAAGGCTCCAGGTTGCAGGGGTGCATGGTGAAAAGACTTGGAGGATCAGTTAGACCTTGGGAACCCACCGTAAGCCTGCATACTTAGATTAGGGGATCCTTGGAGCCTTAGGCTTCCTTTACAGATATTATAATGGTTACAGCAATAGGATTGAAATAATCTTCCCAAAAAATCCTGCACGCCTCAGCGTTCCTCCTTTTTGTGGCCAGGCTGCAGATGCTATCCGTGGCACGGTGCTGAAGGTTTCCGCGCCATGCTCGCACCTGTTGGGGGGGGAGGGGTGGGATTGACAGACCGCTCTTGTGCCCTAAGCCCTAAACCCCTCAACCCTAAACCCAAGTGCTCCAGCGCTTAGGCTCCAAAGGGGATTCGCGCCGCCGGGTCGGGCTTCGGGGGTTTTGGGGGAGTTTACGGTGTCTGAAAGTTGGGGCACTAACGGTGCACTGCCGAACCCCGGGAAACCTCTAAAGCTAGGGAGAAACTCGTCTCAACAAGCCCCTATCCAAAAGCCTCCTCACCTCTCTATCGCAACCTACGTCCAGGTTCTTTAGGAGTTGGGGTTCAGGGGTTTAGTGTTTACGGTTTATGTAGGTTTCACGGGTCATGGGTGGGGTGTAGGTATTTGTTGTTGTTCTTACTTGTTCAGCTTGCTAACTAAAGGTCGCGCTGAGGGACAGGCTGGATTGAGCAGTTGAGCATTGGAGAATTGTGAACTATACAAGTCGCTTTTTAACCACTAATTTGTTCACAGTAAGCTCAGTGACCAACTGGTTTCAGCCGCCCCAACCCGAACATGCCCCTTTCCTTCGTGGTGGAGTTACCGTGCCTTTAGCTGGTCACTGCAGCTACACTGTTCTTACAGGGCTCTGTGGTTGCACAGATCTGTCGGGTTATGAAACGTAAACCCTAAACCCACAACCCTTGTTTAAGTGTCAGGGTTGGGATCCCGGAATGGGACTTACTAGCTTCCCCAATGGTACGCGGTTGCCCCATTTTTTTTCTTTTGGGGCTCCCTTATCTAAACCAAATAGTAGGAGAAAGCGTGCCCTCATTATTAAGGGGCTACTGGGGAACCTAGCTTACTTGTTGGGGTTTAAGGTTTAGGGTGAGGCTGGTGTCACAAGTTTCCGTAGCAGGGCAGTTCTTGGTGATCCTGACGTCACGCGCCATGTCAGTCATCGTTGATGTGAGCTTAATCAGTGGTCGAACCGTTACCCTAGAAGCCACGGCTGATGAACGAGTGGAAGCATTGAAGCGCAGTGCTCAGACAGCATTGGGAGTTGGTGGTGGGCAGCTGTTGAACTCATCAGGAAGTGTTTTGGATGGAGCCATGACAGTCAAGAAAGCGAAGTTGCAGAGCGGAGACTCTCTGACGTTCCAGATACGAGGCGTCCAGGTATGTAGCAGTGAACATGCTGTCGCTGCAATTCTGGGAGACGGATCTGTTATTACGTGGGGGGCTGCTGAGTATGGAGGGGACTGCAGTTCAGTGCGTAGCCAGCTGAGGAGTGTGCAGCAAATCCAAGCCTCCTACGGAGCTTTTGCTGCCATTCTTGACGATGGATCAGTTGTTACGTGGGGAGATGCTGATGAAGGAGGTGACAGTAGTGCCGTGCAGGACCAGCTCAAGTCAGTGAAACGAATCACAACGTCTGGCTTGGCCTTTGCTGCGGTACTCGGAAACGGATCTGTGATTGCTTGGGGCTATGCTAAGTGTGGCGGGGACTGCAGTTCCGTGCAAGACCAGCTTCATCATGTCCAACAGGTCCAAGCCTCCAATGCTGCTTTTGCCGCGATCCGGGAAGACGGATCAGTCGTTACGTGGGGCGACGCTGAGTATGGAGGTGACTGCAGTTCCGTACAAAACCAGCTGAAGAACGTGCAGCAGATCCAAACTTCCTTTGCAGCTTTTGCTGCGGTTCTGAGCGACGGATCTGTTGTTGCATGGGGCAGGGCCGAGTATGGAGGTGACTGCAGTGCTGTTGGAGACCAGCTAAGGAATGTGCAGCATATCCAAGCCACGACTGCAGCCTTTGCTGCGATCCTCGACAGCGGCTCGGTTGTGGCATGGGGCGAGGTCGAGGAAGGTGGTGACTGTCGCTCGGTGCAGGACCAGCTCAAAACCGTGCAGCATGTCCAAGCCTCGTATGCAGCTTTTGCTGCGATCTTGCTTGACGGATCTGTTGTTACATGGGGGGCTGTTGAGTATGGCGGGGACTGCAAATCCGTGCAAAGGCAGCTGAAGACTGTGCAGCAGATCCAAGCCTCGTACGGAGCTTTTGCTGCGATCAGGGACGACGGCTCTGTTGTAGCCTGGGGTGATGCCATTGATGGAGGTGACTGCAGTGCCGTGCAAGCCCAGCTCAAAAACGTGAAGCAGATACAATCCTCCCTTCATGCGTTTGCTGCGATGCGCAGTGACGGATCCGTCGTGACTTGGGGCGACGCTGAGTACGGAGGTGACTGCAGTTGCGTGCAGCACCAGCTTCAAAATGTGCAGCAGATCCAAGGCTCTGTTCATGCATTTGCTGCGATACTGGGCGACGGATCTATTGTTACATGGGGCAACGCTGCCTATGGTGGAAACAGCACTATGAGGCAGATGGAAGCAGCGATCGACGGTGAACCACACCCCGGGGAGTAGAACTCTCAATGCTCGTTCGGGCTTTTGTTACAAACACGTGCTTCTTACCCTCAGAGCATTGAAACAGAATCTTCCGTCCCCTTTGCTTACGAGTCAATTGCACTACACATCCAAAACATAAGCCCACACCCGAACCTTAGAGTCCTAGAGCCTGAAAGCATTCCACGGCCATTAAATTTCAATTCCAGCACCGAAACCCTAAACCTCAAGCCCTGGATGAGCCCAGGAGAAGGGGAAGTCGAAGAAGGGAACTGCTTTGGTCGCTTGGCAGCTCTCGGGTAGTGGCCTTAGGATCTAGGCTTTAGAGTTGATGTGTTTGGTGGACCGGGCCTCATCATGCAGGAGCCTTAACATTGCACAAAGGGTTTTGTGATGTATGCTTCACATAGTCCAGGCACAGTATAGGTATTGTCAGAAGTATAGTAAAGAGCCCTAAGTAATAGCATGATTAAATACTCAGGCTTCCCTAGTAGGGTTTCTAGGGTCTACGAATATAGGGAGTACGTATAGTCTCCATTGTAGTTCCTTTCTGAGGTTACCTTTTAGGATCCTTCATATAGAA